CAAATCCACCCATAGTTAAACTAGCATGCATGCAGCTTTTCACATGCAACTAATCACCTAGATTTTAAATTGCTTATGAACACAAGGAATTTCATTTTCAATGCTACATTCTATATCAACTAGATTACAGAATTGAATGGGTTCCTAGTGTTGAGAATGTATAATTATGGGCAAGTGCACAAATGTGGTAGAAAAGAGCAAATGGAAAATTAAACATAGAGGAAGTCAAGGCGTAAAGATAGAACCTTATGTTTATTCCAAGGGTAAAAAATGATGAGCCATAAGCACGGACACATAAAACTTCCTGCCCCTCATGTTCCTTATTGTCAATCTTAGCATCCTTCTGCAGCATAAAATGGAGAAAAGCAAATTTACCACCAGTGATACCATAATCACAAACTCCAGCAACAGAATACAGTGGTGAAAGCAGGCTTAAAAGAGAAAGGAATGAAACAACAAGACTATAGTTTTTGCCTATATTTTCTATCTCCTGATATATGGTTGTGTTGGTGGAGAAACAAATAGCAAAAAATCTGTTAAAAGGCCAATTTGCAAGCAGCTTCATAAGGAAATCCATCAATTTCTCATGTAAGTGACGGTTACTAAAAAATAGAAAGAGATAAGTCCTTTTAGACACAACTTATATACATACTTAGAATATTTGAAAAATAACCAAGTTCAAATGGTCAATTCTTTTTTCCCCATTGATGGTAGGATTGAGATAGAAAACTACAGTTAAATTGAGAGTTAGATTGTAAAGGGAAAATTTTGTTCTTAGGCTCCAGCCCTATTCAAGCATGACAAGATCCTTTACTGCGACATTCCAGAGTAAGTTGCCAGCAAATAAACCAGTAATGTAAGAGAAACAACCTTTTTAGTCTCACTATCAGGTTCATCAGCCTGTGAGTGGAGAAAAACATCACTAGCAGCTCGGCAGATCTGCACATTTTTCACCAGCTCTTTCTGAATTTCCAGAAGACGAGTATATCTATTGCATGATATAGCTCTTAATAGCAGCTTTTCCACATCAATGCAACTTTGGTCAAGGAAGAACCTTGCCTCCTTACCAGTTAATGGGTCTATAACAAATGTGCTATGTTGACACCTAATCTGCAGGTCTGGTCCAGGTTCAATTTTTATGTATGGGCAAGATCCTGAGTCTGAAACACCTGAGTTTTTATCAAAATCTAGCCAATAGACAAGTTTTAATCCTGGAGTTCGTAGACCAGCTAAATCAGATTCACTATCTTGATTAAGCTGTGAGGAACCACCACTTCCTCCATCAGATATCATCTCAAAGCGAACAGCATCTTTCCATCTCCCTTGCCGAAGTGCCTGTACTTGCCTTATCACAGTGTCCATAACTAGTGCAACACAGAGCTCATGCAGAACTGAGTATAAGGTAATGAATGGATTCTCTGCTGCAGACATTCTGCGTTCTATGTCATCTCCAAGAGCATGCCTTCTCATCTCCTCTAGTTTCACAAGCCCACTTCTCTCACCAACAAGTAATTCTAAATGCAAAATCCTCCACATTGACAGATGTCCTCGATAACCAAGAGTAACTAACACCTTAAATTCTCCATCTACACGAATTATAGCTGTACCATTGGAAACTTTCACTTCAGAAATTTCTTTGGGCAGTGAAACTTCAAGTAATTTAGAGCATACAAGTGTATCCAGCTTTTTCAAAGCTGGTTTCTGCTGATCTTCAGTTAATGAGCTCTGCGTACCCACATCTTCTACACATTTTGGTAAACGTTCATATGATCCTGTGAGTAGGACTTCAACAGCAGAAGGAACATCATAGACAGGGGCACGAGCTTGCTGTAGCCCCTCATGCATGAAGAATAATGAGTCTGCAGCCTGGGTGAAACATGTATCATGACTTGATAAAGTAGATGCCAATTGCTGGCAATACTGTATCAGTGGAACCTGCACATCACAAGAATAAGGCTAAATTTGAGCATATATATAGCTAGTACATCAATCAATTCCCATGTGGAAAGGACTCTATGGAATTTTATAAGGGAATCAGAGCTTCATATCTACATTCATCACAATTTAGTAGTAGCACATCACAATAGTTTAACTCAACTGAGTCAGATAGTACTTTTTTTTTTCCAACATGAATAAAATGATCTAATATGTTAATCTATACTACGAAAGCCCGCAAAATGTTAAGGGGCAGTCTTATATGATATTCAACTTCCACAGAGTCTGACTCATGTCAAAAGATAAGACCAGTGAAACTGATAGCCAGACTGAGTTCAACTACTATAATGGCATGATCTAATGGGTTGGCAACTTGGCTAGAACATTGAAGTCACAAAAGGCATTGCAAGCTGATAACACAGTTAATGGAAATAAACAAGTGGGAATATCCATGATAACCCAGCAACAATCAGGTCAACTTTTACACGTTTATCCTCTCACAAGTAATCTATTTGAGCACATTACTACTTTTCTGAATAAGAATTGGACATTATGACAACCATAACGGAATCTTGGTTAAATTTTCACCGAATTTATTTGTCAAGCATTTTTGGTTCTTCCTCCTCCTAACGACTATCAATACCAAGCTGGAATTCCATAATAATGCCTCAGATTCTACTCTTCAAGAGATTCGAATTGACTAAAATTAGAAAGATTATACGGCCAGATACAAAAGGACATGTGCCACATATCAAATTCTTGATTTCAAAAAACTCTTGATTTCACCCCATTTACACTTAAAATTCCAAAAAATAAAATAAAATCTTTAATTCCAATTTCAGTAGCTACTCAAAGCTAATTAATGAACTAAAAACAAATCTTTGACAGTTTAACTGAGTCACTGATTTAAAACTCAAAACCAACAAATCTTTTACCAAAAAAAGCTTAAAACTTTTGATAAAAACCCATAGTTTCTCCCAATCAACAAAAATCTCACAAATCTTTTACCAAGGAAAAAGGTGAAACTGAGTTAGCTAAGTGAACTCGAGGGTTCTGGCCAAAAAAAAAACTCGAGGGTAACACAAGCGAGTCGACTCACCTGCTGACACCACTTAGCCAGAACATTGAGCCTAAGCATCCGTTGTTGGGTCTTGACTATATACTTAAGGAGATTAATCTTCTTCTCCGTATCCGATTGGTCGCTTGATTTAGATTTCTCCACGAGTTCCTTCAATGAGATAAACGATTCCTCGGCGGTTCGACTCACTAAAGTCGAGAACTCGACCGTTTGTTGCCCTAACTCAGCCATTGAAAACAAAAAAAAAAAAAAAAAAGGAATTCCCCCAAAAAGTTTAAAATTTTATGTTAATTATGGATTCCAGGGCTTGGAATTGGATCTGGGTTTCATTTAAAATGCATGAAAATCAGGGCTTTTGAAGATCCTTCTCAATCTTTCTCTCTCCTGTAAGAGAAAGCTTTCTTCTTTAGGTTCTCCGGGTTTGGGAGAGAAAGAGAGAAGGAAAAAGAAAATTTTGGATTTAAAGAAAAAAAAAGTTTGATATAAATGACAAAAAAAAGAAAAAAGTTAGCACTTTTTTTTTTTTTTTGCAGATTAAGATAAGTGGAGAAATTTTTGGTTTTTATCCTTGGCTAATAATACCCTATCCACTATTTTTTTATTCTTTATGTGTAAATCAAAATTAAATTTTATTAAAATTGAAAATTAGTACATACTTGATTTGACTTTATTAAATCAAGGTTTAAGCTTTTCATCTATATAAATTCATTATTAATTATTATTGATTAAGTTAAGTAGTTTAAATAATTTAATTAGTTCAAAATCTATGAGCTATTTTTCTATTTTTTATTAGGTACTTTTTATATTAAAAATTATTAAATAAATAATATGGTAGAGGAGGATTTTAAAAAAATACATTTATCTTCTATTATTTGCTTAAAGTTTGATTTCAATTAAATATTTTTATTTAAATTTGATATTTTAAAATACTATATAATTATATAATAAAAAATAAAAATAATTTAATTTAAAATTTTAATAATTATTATATATAATTGTAACAAAATAAAAAATGTTATATTTTTATATAAATATAAATTATAACATATAATTTTTATATAAATTTAATATTTTATACAATATAAATATATAAATTATCATATCTATCTCCATTGAATATAAAACCTCCATCAAAATCCTAGTTAACTTTCAAATATGATTATATGTACTATGGTATCATTGATGTTCAACTATCAAATTGATAGCATTCTACAAATATATATATATATATATATATATGTTTTTATTTTTATTTTTTTTGAGAAGACAAAAGAGGAAGAGTTAGCCAATATATTTAGGTTAAGTGGGTAACAGTAAAAAAAAGTAAGCCCAACATGGAAACTGTTCTGAATGAAGAATTGGACTTAATCTGTGACTTGAGGCCCAAATTTGACTGTTGGTTTTTTATTTTATATGGAGGAAATATAAAAGGAAACCTATTCTTGAGGCTGGCATTTTAATTTTAGTCCTTATCCAGAAAGGCATTTGCTTTAACATTTGAAGCCCATCAGAAGAGCCCAAAGGGCCAGACTTCATTTTCATCATTTTGTTTTTGCTGCTTTGGTTTAATTCTCATAAAAAAATTTACTCATGGCATGAATTTTAACAAGCTAATTTGCATATTGAAAAAAGAATTGTATGAAACAAGCATTAGTATATATTTCTTTCATCATTTAAATCATGTCACGTAATTTTATTTTTTAAAAATAATTATTTATTTTATATATATATACACCATTTATCATTGGCCGACAAAGAATCATAATTAATTTGACTTTGTTGAGCAAATCAATTGTTTCACACTTTCATGTGACGTATCTTAGAACTATTGAAAATTGATATTAGTGTTTAATCTCATTTCTTCTTTTCCTAGCCTTTCTCTTTTTGAAAATTACCTCTTCTATGGTTAAGTTTTCCACTTCTTTTGTCTTTCAAGATTGACCATAGATAGAATGGATAAAAAGCAATGTGAAAGAAGAATTACAAAGGGGAGATTTGATTTATCCTTCACTCAATAAGATAATTTCCCTTGTTACATAATACATGGGAAAAAGAAAAAAAAAAAAAAGGAAAACCATTCCTTTGTGCAAAATCCATAAGGACTAACATGCCAAACTATACATATAAATGTTTATTTGTATTTCCCAGACAAAGTCCTAGTATTAAGATCTTCTTTGTTGCCCAGAAAAAAAAGAAAAATTTTTGGATCTTATAACCCAAGCTGAAGGGTTTCTTATGTCTTCATGAGAGCAATGGATTTCATTCTCCATCATTATGGGTTATTTTCATACAACACAACCCAGGCCTCTTGCTTCTGATCCTTTCATGATCCTCAGCCTTTTGCAGGAATTGATGAACATTCTGTAGTGAGAAAATACAAAAATCTTTAACCATTTTTTCATTTTTTTGGTTGAAAATTTAATGAATTCTAATTTGAATGGAGAAAAGAACTTACTCCCATGGTACATCTCCTACCAACATCCAGTCACCATCTTTATCTTCATAGGTAGGAACAAATTCTGACCCATTATATCCTTCTCTCTCTGAATATTCACCTGATAATGATTAAAAACAAAAAAATAATAATTACATTCATTTGCAAAAATTATTTACATAATTTTGAAAAAAAAAATGAATGGTGCTTACCAACTTTGAACTTGAACATGTCTTCCAGGGCCTTAAGCAATTCTGGGTACCTCTTGTACACCTTCAAATCTATCTTTCTAAGATAAGGAGCTCCATCCATACTTACTTTGACATAGATTCCTGCAGTTTCAGCCTCAGTTTTCTTTGACTGGAGGCAGTTTTTTCTGTAAGATCGGATGGGTGGCCACCCTACAACTTGTGCCCTGCAATTTTACATGTCCACCAGGAGTATTAGTAACATTTAATCAATAAAATGAAACTAGAAAACATGAAATTTTCCATTTCTGATTGAAAAAAAGATTGCTTACTTTGTGGGTGGAGCAGTTTCTTGGTCACAATTTTTAGCAGCTGCTGCCACATTAGAATTGTGATCACGAGACATAGATTCTTCATTCACGTCAGGCAAGGCTCTTTTGTTACTCGGAGATGCTAGCTTCTCAGCTGACTGATCGGAGGTGCCCGGTAGGCCTAACCGGAGTTCGGTAGCTTCAAGGTTAAGATCTTGCTCAAATGCCATAGCTTAATTCCTCTGTCTGTTGTTCAGTCACTCTTGCTTGCAATATCAAATGATCTGCTTGAACTTAATAGCCGATGGACTGATCAATCACACGTTTCCTACAAAGATTTGAAAGGAATCGAACTCTTCTATATATAATTCAAGGAAGGCTAGCTGATGATCAGTTCTTATGGTTGAAGGAACATATGCATGTGTCATGGATGGGGAATATATGGTGATAAATGCAAAGGACATTGTCTAGAAAATTAAAATCAAGCAACAAAAATAGCGCGTCCGTTACACGTTACTTGTTCACAATAAATAATAATTAAAGTTTTTTTTTTTTCTAATTTCAATCATGATTAAATTAAGATCATTAGATAACATTGACAGAGAGAGTGGGGTTTAAGAGCCCTAAAGAGAGAGTGATGAAAGAGGGAACTTTTTAGGGCAATGGTATCTTTAATACATAAATTTGAACATGGGCAGCTAAGTTGTTTGTCACATGAACAGCACAATTGAGGCAGTTGTCTTACAATTACGGAGACAAGGTTGGGACAAAGCTTAACCGCCCATTTATACTGAAGTCTGTGAGATCAGAAAAGATCAAATGGTTTGAGATGAATCGATCAGTTCCAAGGGAAAAAATCTTGAGCATTGGATGTAATGACTGGTGGGTAGATTCCAAGTTACTTGCGTTGGGTCTACATGGGATTTTTTTTTTTTTTGTATTGTTTGAACTTGAACTCAACCTTTATAACATGTCACAATTAATCTTTCTTTAATTATTAGGCCAAGAATTTGTTGGCAAATGGGCTGTTCGTGATGGGCAAGACATGGTCAAATTTAGGTTTAATTTGATCTATGGTTACGGGTAATGTTACATGTGGACATGGTCACCCTCATGAAACCATTGCCTCATATCAAGGACATTGCCCAACATGATCATATAAGAAAATCCTTTTTTGCCATATTAGACACCAACCATAGAGTTTAAAAACTCGAAAAACTATTAAAACGACACATGATGAGTAATTAGATTGATTTTTTAAGTTTTTAAATTTCATTAATAATGTATGAAATAATATCTTATAAACCTTTTTATGACGCCAAAATCCTTCTCAAATCTCATATAAAAAGGTTGTTAGTCTCAAAATTGAACTCTAGAATTAAAAGGACCCTAACACTTCTATTTGAAGTAATATCCATGGCCCTCCATTCTATCCCTTTCTTGATTAAAAATGAGATGGAAAAGAAATATGGCTCTTCGTCGGGTGAAAAGGAGGAAACATGAATTATGATGCTAATCTCAAATAATTATGATATGACATGTGATTTATATGTTACAACTAACGATTAAGAATTTTGTTTGTGTTGAGAAATCGACAGACAAACAACAGACCTGTATAATCAAGAAAATTATAATGATATACACTTTCAGTAAAGTCAATTAATGATGAATTCAATAATTTTAATTGATTAAACTAAAAATTTAATCAATTGAATCATATAATTATTCTTAAAATATGGTATAATTAATAAGTTTGAATTTCACATTTTAATATATATAATCACTTCATTTATTTTTAAATTATGATTTCTTTTATATAAAAATATAATTTTGATTGATTCATTTGCGTTTTAACAAATGGGAACTCTAAAGGATAAACTTTTTTTTTTTTCTGATAACTTAAAGAGTAAGCTTTGAGTATAAAATTAGTTCTATTTTAAAACTAGAAGGCTAGCTAGGTGGTAAAAAAAAAAATAAATGAATCGCATCGAAAATTCATCAAAAAGAGGAAACATCCTTCTCAATTACTCTATTTCTGCTTCCTCTTTAGATATGGTCGAAGAAAGCTAGAAACATTAGACAAACATAAAAAAAATCTAGTTGATTCTTATTTATAAGTTATGCCAGTAACCATTAAACATTTACTCTAGGATATATATATATATATATATATATATATATTCATCATCCATGGCCATACTTTTGACACACATTAGACATTTTACTTTAGCTAAGATAGATGCATGCAGCTATACATATATATTTTTTGATGCTGTGAGGTTGGGACGAGGAAGTTTTGAATCGAAATCAAAATTTTTATATCGTTTTAAATATTTTTAATCGTGATAAAGATTGACACGGCACTGATGATTGATCTCGATTTGTTTGTTATAATTGTTCAATCTGAATCATACATATAATACATACGCGTTGCATTCATGCATGCACACGAGTGTGTCAATGCACAAAAAGACTTTGAATAGTCCTGACAGTCGATATTAGCAAGTTTTTTTTTTTTTTCCTCTACAAGTTAGAGCTTTTAAGCTTGAAAAAAGGGTTTGCTAAAGCTCATCCTTTGGTGATTTATGGCAATACATTATGAGCTTTTCTTTCCTGCTGTCTGTCTTGGGTCTTTCCTCCAGTTCTTGCCAGCCAATCAAGAGTCCCACTCCCCCCAAAAAAATCCCATCTCTCTTTGTTCATAGACCGACTCGGGTCCCATGATAACTACCCTCAGCTAATTTTCAATATCATTTGCATAATTGCTTTTTTTTTTATTATTAATATTCTCTTTTGGAAACATCTCTATATTTTTCTTGTTTAATTTCCTTTGTTCCCCAACAAGAAAACGTAACTTAAGTAATTATGCTTCTATTTTTTAAATTCCTCGTAAATTAAGATTGAAGCATCTTCCTAATATTTTACACTTCTATTCATTTCAAAATATGATCATGGCCCCTAGACTATATTTGTGTATTTTGATTGTGGTATCGTATAAAGAACATTCAGTCTACTAATACAATCATTGTCATTAAAAAGGATTAATGTTTCGGCACTGGATGGTTGTCCAAGTTCGAGTCATAATCCCCTCCCCATCAAGATAAGTTTCTGTAGTTAGTAGGGTCGGATGCGGTCCACGGTAAGTTAGAGAAAAATAGGAACTACAAAAAAAGGTTTAAATTGAAGAACAATTATCTTATACAGTCAATTTTAAAATGTAATATCTAGCAAGTTTAAAGTTTAAATCTCTTCACTTATAATCTTTTTATTGACCGTCGGGTAGGGGTAAGAAAATAAAAAAAAAAACCGAAAACTGATTTAAAATCGTAGTATTTGGTTTGGTTCATTTTTTTTTATTCAATTCGAATCATATTCAGATATTAAATATATACATATATTATGTTCAGATTAGGAGATGAAAAATTAAAAAAAAAATGGAACATAACCGAATTATATATTTTTCTTAATTTTTATATATATTTTAAATTTTTATAAAGTAAAAATAATAATTTTATATCAAAATCTATTTAAATTATTAAATTTTTATATTAAAATAATATATAAAAATTTAAATTTAAAATTTAAAAATTGATAAATCGAACCGAATCAAATTGATAAAATTTGATTCTATTCAAATCGAATGAAGGTTCGGTTCAGATTCGTATTAAATTTTAAAATTTTCATAATATTATGTAATATCCGAAAAAACTGAACCAAATTCGATTCGACCCAATCTAAACCGTTATCACCTTTACTCTCAAGTTACGATCTCATTTATATATAAAAAAAAAAAACTAAATTTAGTTTAATTTAACCTAGGGTAGAAAATGCATCGAACGTTGATGACTTTAACTTTGAATATTAACATTGTACTTTATTGTAAATTATAATAGACACCCGAACCATCATGGAAAGGAATGAACGAAATCATCTATGATTCATTGCACCTAAAAATTTTCAATCCCTTTCTCAGTAAAATCTTGGTAGGGTATGAGGGCGACAATTCACTTGTGAGCTTTAATATAGCCACGTTTAGATCTTAATTGCCAGGCTGTGCATAGGATTTGATGATAGGAACATGATAGGAGATATAACTAATGAATGTGATTGCCACAATACTGATAAACATCTAAAAAAAAGTTACATATAAGCTAAATTCCAAGCCAAAATTATGAGTTTTGGGTTTTTGACAGTAATGGAAGCATAGTGTTACATTTAAATTAAACATTTGATATAAGTATTTATTTAGGAATAACCAATCGAATTTATTTTTTTAAAAAAATAATACGAATTTGATTTAACGATCGGTATCTCTTTTTTTAAGAATGTTAAAATCAAAATTTTCAATCTTATCTCTCTTTATGACTTTGATTCTCCCAATAGAAAAAAAAATTACAATTACTTTTGTTATATATATGGAAGTTTTTTATGGTCTAAATTTCCCCAATTAGTAATCATCAATATGGTTATTTGAATAGTGGTCTTGTTCAAGTTCTTAATCATGAATTATGAGTACATCTAAATAACTTCAAGAAATGCATTCAAGAATTATGAAGAATTCACAAAGTTTTAGTAGAGAGATAATGATACTTTCTTGCTCCTTTAACTGTGGTTCTATCATATATTTAAGCTCTAAAATCAAGTCTCTATCCTCTTCACTCTTGGAAGCAAAACTTTTTTTTTTTAACTACAAGTACTAAAAAATTTACAATCAAGTATTACATTTATATAAAAAAATTATTAAATAATCAATTAATAAATTAAAATATAATTAAACAAATTTAATATAAAAATACAACTAATTCCACATATAACAAAACTTGAATTTAAGCATCAGGGTTTTAAGGTCCTTATTGCCACTAAACCAAGATCTTATTGACAAAAGCAAAAGTTTTCTATATATATGACGTGGCTACAAATATTGACTTTTCGATTTTATCATCCCAAATAATACAAGGTCTTTGTAGAAAATTTATTAAATATAAATTCGAGATTTAATTTAATTAATTTATATAATTATTTTTGAAAAATAATATTCAATTAATTTAAAAAGCAAACTTTAACAATTATAATTTTTTTATTTTTAAATTTTGATTTCTTTTATAAAAAAATTTATTAGCATCTCCATGCCTAAATCTTAGAGTCAAAACAATAATTTCTTTGAAAAAATGTAAATTATTTGATGGCTAGATTATTCATGAGAAAATAAATATTAATAAATTTGTTAATTTATGTATTATTTTCGTATACAAACATAAAAAAAAAAAAAAGAAGATGAAACAATAACTTTCGGGCATTTGGCTTTTAGAGCAAATGGAATGGAACAAGGACAGCCAAGCTTCTTCCCATTAAGGATTGGAATCTACGTGAAATGTACAATAGATTATTAAATGGCCACACGTGTATGCGGCTCCATTTGCATACTAGATAGGAATGCACACGTGTTGGGTCTAAGGGAGGGTGACAGTGGGCTTTTGTGGGCCAGACAGGCCACACGAGGGAACATTGCTGAATGTACATTGGTTGGCAATTGGCCTTTTTTTCTTTTGTTTTGGAGCTCAAGGATAGCCCTTATCACCCCTGCTTTTTGTGATTTGTCAGCTTTTTGGGGCAAGTCATTTCGAATCTTGCTTCATGTAGGGCATGCTAAGGGACGACAATAATTTGGATTAAATTTGGTTTGATTTTTTAGATGATATATAATATTATAAATTTTTTAAATTTAATTTAAATTTAAGTAATTTTTTAATTAATTTGATTTGAATAGAATTTAATTTGTTCAATTTGATTAATTAATTTTTAAATTTTAAATATTTTTGCTTTTTATGTATTAATTTAATAAAAATTTTAATATATTTTTATATAAAATAATTATTTTTATTTTATAAAATTTTAAAAATATATAAAAATTAATAAAAATATAAGATTTGATTTCGATTTAATTTTTTAATTTAATTTTTTAATTTAAAATCTAATCTAAACTTAATATATACATTTAGTATCCAACTTTAATTTAAATTGAATAAAAAAATTAATTAGAACCAAACATTATTATTTTGAATTAATTTTAATTTTTTTGATTTTTTCTCAACTCTATCATGTACATCTTGACCATAGCATCATCACTCTCTCTAACCCAAAAATAGAATTGTTTACTTTATGCTTATAAATTTTTTATTCATTTGAAATTCGACAAATAAATCATTCAATTTTTTAGATAAAAATATTTTAATTGATAAGAATCGGATCTTCAAAATTATTGTCATTGAAGAATTACAAATATGTAAAAAGATCATTTTAATTAATGTTTTGTAGTTATGAAATAATCAATGATTCAATACTAAAATTAAACTCTTATAAACTAAATACTATGTCTCTATGATAAGCCCTTTTCATGACTTAATCTAGCCGTACTGTCACGTTATATAGAAGGGTTTGCATTGGTGAAGTCAAAAGATCAAATTTGAAAGTCAAAAGACCAATTTTCACGTGCATGATTTAATGTACGAAAAGAACATTACAGTCAAAGAAATGTTTTGACCAAAGGCAAATATTACCGTCCGTAAAGTGGTCCAACAACTACAATTTTCAAAGTGAAATATAAGAACTTAGGGAGACAAAAATATAAAATTCTAAATCAAATATTTTTCAAATTCAAATCTTAAATTAAAAAGATTTAAGTTTAATGATCGAAAAAATTTATTTTTATTATATAAATTAAAATTACATGTATATATAAAAAAAAATCAGTGTCTTTTAGATAGTTATGTAGACACTTCATGTTATAATAAAAGAAAATTGATACTCAAATTGGGAATTTTCTTAAGAAATATATTGCATGTATATACATGTTAATTATATTATATTTATATTTTTTTATTTGAAAAAAATTAAAAAAAAAAAGAGATTATCTTATCTCCAAATACAAGGTAAGCTACAGACTTTAAACTTTAACTATTTGCATCAACTTTTATTATCATATCATATATATATATGAAATTATATTACATGCTTGTGAAATTTGGGTGAAACAAGGCACATGGGTGGCTAAGGCGAAGAAATGCCAAGCTGTCCAACCTCTGAAGAGCAAGAAAACCAAGTGGGTGCGGAATGGGCCCCAAATAAATGCCCTCTCACCCAATCAAGAGAATGAATCTTAATTCTCGGGCGCATGCCACATGGGTTTTGCTGACTTTTCTGTGGGCTCCCACTGTCCAGCTGTCTTTTGTTGATTCTATATGCTTCTTCAAAATAAATAAAAAATTTCCTTAATTAATCTCACATATAAACATGGTATTTCAAAAGAATTTATATGGGTAAAAATTGATAATTCTTTTTTTTTTTAAAAGAAAGTTCTAAGCATTTGTTGTGATAATCAATGCAAAATCATTATCTTTTATATTTTTTATTTTAACAAATATAAGTTAAAAGGTAATAAGTTTATCTAAAAAATTATATCGAAACAATTTATGCACGTATTAATTATATATAAATTAACAATTAGCCTAATTAATATTTATAATTATCCTTTTGTTCAAAGATTAATATCTAAAATTTATAACGTAGCCATCTCTTCCTCCAATCCATCAACATCTACATTCTGATCGATCACTACCCACACATTCAATATTTTGGGAGCTTAAAACTTACAATTATTGTTATAAAATTAATAAATTTCAATTCAGAATTAAGTGAAATATATCAAAATTTTATATTAAACTCATATTTATAAATAGTGAGTTTACATTAATTTTTATTTTAATTAAATAATTGTAATATTATAATAAAAAATTATAAATGATATATTTTTTATTTTAAAAAATTGACGAATATAAAAAAAAATATGAGATCTCGATCTTCTCCTTGACCATGTTATTTTCAAATTTTGCTGGTGCATCATAATCTATAAACCATAAAAAAAAATCAAAAGGTTGACAAAGGTTAAGGAATGCTGCGTGTTTTAATTTTTTGAATTTTCAATCAGAGAAGATTAATGGAATTTGAGAAATTTTTAATGAGATAAAATGCAAACGATTATATTGAAAACAAAGATGACGTGGTAGTATTATAGACGTGGATTTTTTCTTAACCGAGGCATGATCAAGACCATCAACTGAATCTCTCCTAAACCGTAAAATGTGTTATTGAATATATAACACAATTAAATTGAATAATTAATGTCTCCATAAAACTAAAAATAGTAAGACTAATTAAATTTCTTATTTTTGGCATATGGCATCGTTACTTTGGCGGAGCCAAGGAAGGAAACAAAGGAAGGCGGACTCACCCCCGATTATCCTAAATATGACGTCATCCATGACATCACCTTCCCTAATACGTTTGGACGGTCTGACACTATATTCCACGTGGCATCATCATCGCCGTTGAAAATCCCATAAAATGACATTCCAAGACCATATATTATGTTTGCACGTAGCCATATTTTGGCCTTCTTCCCAACATTTCATAGATTCCCCTCCGCCCACTTCACAAACGCACTTCCTCTAGCAAACACACTAGCAAGAGAGACGAAGGAAAAAAAAAATTCAAGGGAAGTTTGGATCGTATTCGAGTTTTTTACAATACTTTTTTTCGTAAATTTTGGTGTGCAGATATCATAATGACTAGCATTACGAGTGCGGAGAGTGACAAGTATAGCATGATTAATTTCGAAGAGACGGAGCTACGTCTAGGGTTGCCCGGAGGCAATGGAAATGACGGTGAAACCACCAAAAATAATGGGAAAAGAGGGTTCTCGGAGACGGTTGATTTGAAACTTAACCTTTCAACAACAAATGAGGCACTGGTGGACGAACCTGAGAAGTTGAAGGAGAGGAGCACTGTCGCCACTCGCTCTAATGACCCTGCAAAGTAAGATTTTTCCTTCTTTTGGTGATTTTTGTGTTTTCCATTTCTTTTTTTTTTTTTTTTAATTAAAGTAACGTAAATGGTAATGAAAATTAATTGCATCAAGAATTGGAATTAAGAGATGCATTTATCACGCCAAACGCTCCGAGAGGAAGTAAATAGGGTACTTCAATCTCATATCGAACGTGAAAGGAGAGGTTACCGAATTATAAAAGGGTTCACATCATTTTTTTTTTATAAAAAATTTTTTGTGAGATAAAATCGTGAGAATGAAAGTGCATGTCCGGATCCTGAAGTCGCACGAACCTAGAGGTTGAATCTTGAGGGAGGTAGATAGGATGGCTAACCTTCACGACGAAAACGTCACGAGATTGGGTGGAGGAGAATGTCATGCCAAGCCTTTCAAAAAGGAGTAAGCAGGATACTCCAATCTCATATCCGACATGAAAGAAGGGTCTAGAGTGTACAATATCTCATAAAAATATGAACCATGATAATTAGACTGATTTGAGATATCGAATCAGTGTATGCCCAAGTTTTGAAGTTGCATGAGTTTGAAAGTTGAGTCTCAACCTGTGACATGAGTATATTTTTCAATAAAATTAATTAATTTCTTGATTTTACAGTTTTTTTGTCAGATGATTTTAAAATTTTCTTCCATTGTTGAATATTCATTTGGACTTGAAGAAGATGAGTCTTCAATGAATCTAGGTCTTCTAAAGTGGAAAAACAGTTTAATTTGGGATATTTGATGGCTTGATTGTTTGTCGGGAAAAAGAGGGAAAAAAACAAAACATTTGGAATCTTTAGTACTTTTCCCAACACCCGAACAATAATTCAATGGTTTAACAGGAAAGTGGATGAGATAGTCCACAGCAAAGCTACCAAACTTTCGTAAAATGCAAATAGTAATTTATTTTTTTAACAGAAAAGAGAAAAAAATGGAAAACTAGAATGTTATTTCCTTGTTTTGACCAATATGATTAATGTTCCTGGTAAAAAAATGAAATTATCTAGTTACTTAAAATTGAGGGCACATTTGATTTCAGAGCACAAGTGGTGGGATGGCCACCAGTCAGATCCTACAGGAAGAACATCATGGCAGTCCACAAGAACAGCTCCAACGAGGGCGAGAAGGCCGGATGCAGCACAGCCACCGCCACCACTGCAGCGTTCGTTAAGGTCTGCATGGATGGTGCACCATATCTACGCAAGGTGGACTTGAAATTATACAAGAGTTACCAAGAACTCTCTGATGCCTTGGGCAAAATGTTCAGCTCTTTCACTATTGGTAATCAATAAGCCCACAACCAATATTGATTTAGGTGAATTAATGTTGAGAACTGAACTAATTATGATTATTTTTGGGTTAATGTTTAATTATTAGGTAATTGTGGGTCACAAGGAATGAAAAATTTTATGAATGAGAGCAAATTGATAGACCTCTTGAATGGTTCTAAGTATGTTCCAACTTACGAGGACAAAGATGGAGATTGGATGCTTGTTGGTGATGTGCCATGGGAGTAAGTTTTTCAACTTGAAGATATTAATTTTATGATTTTTTTTATTTTGGATTAGACTTCTGTATTATTGAACTAATAGCCCATCAATGATAAGTTTTTATGAGTGAAATGATATTCCTGTTTGTATCAAGATAGTTTTACTGGAAATAAATCAAAACTCGCTAATTAATTTCTTTGCTAAATTTATAGGATGTTTGTTGAATCATGCAAACGCTTACGAATCATGGAAGGATCTGAAGCAATCGGACTTGGTTAGTAACTGTTATTTTTTTTATAACATGTCATGAACTCATGACTGTTCAATCTTAAGTCATTTTAAGCAAAAATTTATCATCTGCTTACTGTTTTTTTCATGGTGTTGCAGCTCCAAGAGCAGTAGAGAAGTGCAAGAACAGAAGATGAAATAGTGTTACAGACAACAATCTCAATTGAAGATCATAAGAAACCAGCAAGACCAGGGAGTTTGAATGTGCTCATCAACATGAAGAAAACAAAATCATTATAAGACTTTGCTTTTCTCCAGTGTAACTTTGTTTTATTGTCAATGGCTTGTTTTATAAATCTTAAAAATTATTAATGTTTTTAGTTGTCATGAGTGTTTTTTGTTTATTACATTTTGTAATATATATTTTTGCATGTATTTTTTTAATATAACGTTTTATTTTGATAAATTATTTTATAATGTTTTTGTAATTGGTTGAGGAAACAAAGAAACAAGATCCAAGAACAAGGAGACAAGGCCATGTGCAAATTTTGCTGGGAACATGTAAGAATCAATTATTCATACATTTTTTTATTAATTTTCATTGCTGGTATGGTATATTTTTATTGCAAGTTGTAGACAGGTGTGGACCCTAAAATTATTTTTGTAATTATTTTTGCTCACACCAAATACTCATTCTTTTAGAAAAAAAAAAAAAAGAATAGTAAATAATTGTAGCTCTTCTCAGGCACATTTTCTTATCAGACAACCAAGAGAGAGTGTAGTTCAAATCTATCTATAAAGAAAATAACTATTGTGTAGGATTTCCAAAGATACAAACCATAAATATAGAACTTTTTTTCACTCTTAAATTACATAATAAGATGTATTTGAAATTTAATTAAATTTATTCGTATAATTATTTTTAAGAGATAATATTTAATAAATTTATAGTTTAAATTTCATTTTTACAATCATTCTTTTATTATCAAATAATGATTTTTTTAAAATTACACAATAAATTTTTTTTTTGATAAACCGAGCCCCTTTTTTTAATTAAGATTCATTAATAAAGCGAATGAATGAGTTTTGTAACCAAATTTGACTACCATTTTGGTGCAGCCCAAGCCAAAGGCCATAAATGTATTCTTTGGCAGGCTTCTTAATTTAAAAAAAAATGTTAAGCAACCAATAGCTATGAAATTATAGGCTTTAATTAACTGAAATGGAGGATTTGGTTGGAAAAGCATCAGTCTTTAAGATCTCCCCCAACATGAGACTTGGGATTTGTGAAATTTGTTTTTGTCGTTTCCATTTTTCAAAGATTCCTTCTTTTTTTGAGGTAAGTGGAAGGAATATCTCAATCTTTATTCTTTGAGGCTTAGCATAAATGTGAGGATTTGTAAAATTTGCCTCTCTTACCTCTTTTCAATGATTCTTCATCACAATTTTAATTAATTCGACTTATTCTTGAATTTATCATTTAATCAAAGGTTGACATATTTAATTTTATAAGAAAATAATAAATAATAAAATAAAATTAAAATTTTTAAATTTCATACTTCACAATTAGAACCCTTTTCGAAGTAGAATGATAATGAATTTTCGAATCTTTAAATTTATTGCTTAAATTTCAATCTTCTGTTTTAACTTGGATCTATTGGTCCAATACGATGTCGCTGGAACAGATACAAACAACCAAGTGATTGGGCTGGACAATTGATTTTTTGGACCAAAACTGTTGAATTGGATCAAGAACATGTGGGTTGCCTACAACATTGTATTCGATCTCAAACAAAATAAAGCTTCATTGTTGGTTTTATTTTTGAATAATTGGCCCAATCCAATTATCTTTTATTTACGTTTCTACTTTTTTTTAAAATATAAAATTATCCCATCATCGTAATAAAATTTTTTAATATCAATGAAGTTTTTAAATTCTACCAACATACAATTTTTAAAGTCTATTAAAAAGTAAAAATTAATACAATAAAAAAATAAAATTTTAATTTATTTGTGAAATTTAAAAATTGATGTATATATAAAAAGTAAACTCATAAACAATAATACCAAATTAAAACAAGAGGAAAAAAAATACACACATTAAGAAAGAAATAAGTAGATTGAATTTGAAATTTAATTTAATTATTTTATGTAATTATTTTTAAAAAATAATATCCAATTAGTAATAAATATTTTGTATATCTTGCTATAACATAAGTCGGATAGGCACAGCAAGAAAAGGGTAGGACAGACTATATTTCAAATACAAAAATACAAAAACTTTGGTGAACGAAAAGAAAAAAAAAAAAAAAAAAGGGAACCAACTTTGAAATAGACAAGCACTATACCAAACTAGATAAAGCTCATCCACAAAGACAAGAATTCAAGAAATCAGGCGGCTAATCTCTAAATTTGGCCTTATTTTCTTAATGAATATTTATTTGTAGCCGCCTCTCATTGACAAACACATAAAACAATTAGCCGCCTCACACCATCATTTTGAGCACGCATTCACCTTAATTCTCCACCATCCGATCATCTTTTACAATTTCAATACACAAGTATTTGATTAACAACCAACGGCCCATGATGTTAGTTTAAAATATCATATGCAGTATGCTAATCTAATTAACATGAACCCAACCTTTCTATAAAACCTTAGCAAATCAAATGCAACATTGTTCATAACAAATTCTAACATTTTGCAAAGAAAAAAACAATGGATAAAGTTAAGGTTTCCTTGTGGTTTGGGTTTTTGGTTAGCTTAATGGGAGCAACAGTTGCTGAGCAATGTGGGAGGCAAGCTGGTGGCATAACCTGCCCTGGCAACTTATGTTGCAGCCAATATGGGTGGTGTGGGAGCACCGATGACTATTGTTTGCCTGAAAATAATTGCCAGAGTAATTGCAAAAGTGGCCCTGGAGGAGAAACTGCGATTGTGAGATCTACTTACCATTTCTACAATCCAGAGCAACATGGATGGGATTTGATGGCTGTGAGTGCCTATTGCTCTACATGGGATGCTAGCAAGCCATATTCATGGAGGAGTAAGTATGGTTGGACTGCCTTTTGTGGCCCTTCCGGTCCTTCTTTCCCAGCTGCTTGTGGCAGGTGCTTGAGGGTAAGATCAAACAATAAAATTGGATCTTCCTTTTAACCTTTTTAATTCAAGATGACAAGTTCATTGCCTTCTATGTTGCTTTTACAGGTTACAAATACAAGGACTAGTGCTCAAGAAATAGTACGGATTGTGGACCAATGCAGCAATGGTGGGTTAGATTTAGATGTGGGTGTCTTCAACCGATTGGACACTGATGGAGTCGGATACGCTCAAGGCCACCTTACAGTTAAATATGAATTTGTTAATTGTGGCGATGGCTTCAACCCTCTACTTTCTTCCATTGTTGATAGTTGAATATAGCAGTAAATAAAAAAAAAGTTTGCTGCTTTATTAATTATGTGCTAGAAAAGCCAAATAATGTGACGAGGGAATATGCTGTTGTTTTGATCCCGTTGATATTTTTGCTTTAAGCCATATAATGTGATGAGGGAATATGCTGTTGTTTTGATACCGTTGATATTTTTGCTTTACCATATTATAAATAAAATAATGTTTTGATTTTGTCGTATCTCACGTAAGGATTCGGCATTGTGTTTATCCAAGAACTGACTTGGCCTGACTCCAGTGGATGAGCCACACTTATTGACCAAACGACAAATGACTGCCCCCTGTTGAGTCTCTATCATATGTTTAAGGATTCGGCATTGTGTTTATCCAAGAACTGACTGGGCCTGACTCCAGTGGATGAGCCACACTTATTGACCAAACGACAAATGACTGCCCCCTGTTGAGTCTCTATCATATGTTTAAAGTATTCATCACGTGTGATTTATTACATCCAGAAATGAAGCTAAGAAATCAGAACCATATCTGTTCCGTGCCAGCTGGTATCAGATATGATGGTGATGTGATATAGCATCTCTACGAATTGAGAGCCTGAAAATCATATGCCTTAACAAGGTTAAGGTTTAACCTTGAACATTATAAGGCTATCAATAAGTCTGTCAGGGGACGTTTTCCGTATAAATCTATCAGAGAAACTTTCCCTATAAATCTGAGCAGCCTGGAAACGATTTCAAGCAACAAACTGAAATTGTATCATTCACAGCAAAAATGGAGAGATCAGAAATTGGCATAAGCATTGTGCTGTTGGCCTGTCTGGTGGCTTCTGCCGCTGCCCAGAGTGCTAGTAATGTGACAGCTTATTGGACTAACTACTTTGCTGAGCAGCATGACTGGAACTTGACTGCTGAACACGTTTACTGCGCCACATGGTATGCCGGTATGTCTTATGAATGGCGCAGCAAATATAATTGGACCGCCTTCTGTGGGCCGGTTGGTCCTCAAGGGGAAGGTGCTTGTGGCAAGTGCTTAAATGTAAGGACCATTTATTATTTTATTTATTTTCAAGCACCGTAATTTTTCATCTCTATTTTTTTTTCACAAAAAAAGCTTGATGATAGAAGAAAGGCCTATAATTTGAACTTGTACTTATTGAGTGTGATTTTTTACGAATAATTGTATGAATTAATCAAGTTAAACCTTGAATTCTCTTTTTTTTTTACTTTGAGTATAAATGAAATAAAAGTTGAATGAACTCAGATATTTGATTCGGTGATATGTACTGCATGTATATCCATGTGCAATGAATCGAATTTAAAAATCCGAAATTTAGTTAAATCAATTTGTATAATCATTTTTAAAGAATAATATTTAATAAATTTGAAATTCGATTTTTAATATTTATAATTTTTTCTTTTATCTCTAAATTATAACCTCCATTGTGAAAAAATCGGATTCAAATATCTGGTTTTCCAAACTTGAGTAATTTCGCTTGAAGAAATAAATTCTAATTAGTTACTATAACTTGAATTATTCTCATGCATGAGTTTATATATATGTGGTTCATGCAGGTAACGAACACTGCTACTTCAGCTGTGGTAACGGTGAGAATCGTTGATACATGCCGCAACGAAAGCCTAGATTTGGATAAACCTGCGTTTGATCAGATTGACACTGATGGGCAAGGCAATATAATAGGGCATCTTCTTGTGAACTATACATTTGTGGACTGTGGTGACGCTACAATTCGTCTCTATTCCCAGTAGTCTCTTATGATCAGAATTCCCCACTTTTTTAATGAGTAATTAATAAATAAATCAGCTAGAACCAATATCCGATGTGGTACTGAGAAAAGTGGTATTCATCAGTACTTTTCAACTTTTAAACCAATATCCTATATGTATGCGTGTTTGAGGTATGAATAAAATTTCTAATTAAGCATCGAGTTAATGAAGAAAAAAAAAATTTGGATCACTACAATTGCCTCAAAATGTGGCTGTAACAAGCGAAACAATTGAGCATGTTTTTCACGAGTGTCTGGACATTGGTGCGCTTGGATTGGACATTGGTGTCTGGACTTGATTGGAAGGTTGTTTTCTCCTTGGCTGTTTGTCCTTACTGCCGGGACCAGACAAATAATTTGATTTCAGAGTGGGAAGAGAATCAATCCACCATTGTTAATTTTCTTTTAGCAAGATTTGTCGCGACTAAATTATGTTGAACTTTTATGATTTCTGTGCAATAAAGTCTCAACATTGATTGAATCGTTAAATTCAAAACATTTTAAAAAGGTTGTAAGTACAAAAAATTAAGAGAGTAAAATAGAAAGAAAATAAAAGAAAATAAGATAATTAAATAATATGTGAATGATTTTATTTATAAATAAATAATAAAATATTTATAAAATAAATTAATGACATGATCAAATTAATATAATATTATATATGATAAATCAATTTAAAAATAAAAAATATCTCTAACGAAAAAAAATTATTTCACTTTTTAAATCTAAAAATACCTTTAACAGTACCGAGAGCACCAATAAATTGCTATCACTAGTCAATGCCCAGCGGAGGGGGGGGGGGGGGGGTTTCACTTGCTCTTATCCTGTCTGGGTAAGAGATTTGAAGGTCGATAAAGAGTTGCCAAGCGCATTGGCTTTAGTTCTCCCCCATCGGTCTTGATGTTGGTGGTCCATTCTTCCCCGTGCCTCAATAGGCGGGAGTGGAAGGGGCGGAACATCACCTACAGACTTTATAAATCGTACTTTAAATTATTTACAGTAATTTATTGAATTATAACAATAAATTACTCGTAAATCTACAATAACATATGAAATTCTAATATATATATATATTATAGTTTTTGTCCTAATTTGCAAATCCGAAATTCATAAAGAGCTTTTTTACCTTTGATAAATGAGAATCAATTCAAAAAAAATTTAAAAATATTATATAATAAAAGTACAAATCAATCTTTCAATGATCGTAGTAATCAAAATAAATATATATTCTATAAAATTAATCGTGATCAAATATTTTTTGAATCATATTAAATTTTGTAATTTATTTTTATCTGAAAAATATATTAAAATTTTTTATGTATGAAAGATTATTTACTTATTATTAATATAATCTAATCTTTACTCTTATTTAGATCTCTTGTTTCATTTAAAAAAAATTATGAATGTATGATGCATTTTATTTAATTGTCGTTTTTTCAAAGAATATAAAGTGATCCAAAAATAAAAAATTGTCAATCTAGTGGCCGCGACGCAACGATTATTATGACAAAGATATCTATACGCTGAGTCACATTACTTAATGACAAAAACGACAAAAAATAAAGCATATATAAAAAATAATTTTTTTTAAAAAATGCTTAATCTATCAATGAACCTATTTACTATAATATTTTATTTTATCAGAAAAAGATGTTATATGCATAAATTTTTTTTAAATTCGTAATATGAAATCATTAATTTTAATAAAATATTAACTGATTTAAAAATTAATTGGATTTTTTTCTGCTGAAAATGGTTTCATATCAAACAAATTGGAATAATAGGATTTACAGGAAAAATGGAGAGATCATCTAGCCATTAGCATAGTTGTTAGCCTGTGTGGCGGTGATGGAGACCACCATTCACGTAATTTCTTAAAATTGAATGAGGAAGAACTACAACAAAGGTGATCGATCGGGATTGGGATGTTGTTTTCTCCTAGCTGTGTCTCCCCACCGCTCTGAATTTTCTTTTAGCATTTTCGTTTGGTAATTGGATTAAAAAAAGTGGTCCAAAGATGAACAAAAATAATTATTATTGTGGTCTCCAATGCAACAATAATATCCCAAATGGGTAATTAAAACTTATGACTTCATCTTGAACTTCTTATGTTCAATTCTTAAAATTGATATATTAAAAAAATAAAAAATTTAAGTTTTTTTAAATAAAATAAATCATCAAAATTCAGATTAAAAATTGAAACCTACAAATTGACATGTCTTATTTCTATGTGAAAGCCTCCACGAATTTTCTCACATCACAATGATTTTTTATACACCAATTTTAATACCAATTTTACTGAGAATATACCAATTTTTTATTATTAAATGAATTTTATATATTCAAAAAAAATTAAAAATCGTTACATCAAAATTGTTCTAACCAATAATACCAAAATACAAATATCAAACATCAAAAGTAGAGCCGTTTAGACTCCAAGCCATTTACTATAACTTTATTCATATATATATATATTTGTCAAAATGACAAAAAAACAATCATGAATTAAAATCACGTGCTGCTCTATGTAATTTTCATAGAATTTAATTAAGGGCAAACCCACGGCTTATGAAGATCAGTAAAGGGCAAAAAAAAAATTAAATGATTTTTTTAAATTTTATATGAAATTTTAAAGGATATGCTTGATTTGTTTTTGGACGGTGACTTGTCCTAGAGTCACATCCTACTTATTGACAAAATGACAAAAAAAAAAAAAAGAAAAAAAATCACAATCACGTGCTGCTATAAGATCTCCAATATTTTTGCATCGAATTTCGTTAAGGTCAAGCCCACGGCTTACATTTAACATAATCTTGCATTGAACTTGTTTTCTACTTTTCTGTCTGAAGCCTTACTTGGGACTTGAAAAATAAATATGGTTTCAGAGGAGAAAGAGAATCATATTGATCTCGAGATTATTTAGAAAAAAAAAAAAAAATGCACACACAAGGATGTGAAAATTCGATAATTGTGCATGGACCACAAAAGGTGTTTTATTCGTTTTTCTTGAAACGAGGTGCAAAGATAAAAAAAATTTTAATTTAATGCTAGAATAATACAATAATAATAATAATAATTATTATTATTTAAATATTTAATTTTTATGTTTTTATAGAAAAATAAATAAAATATTAAATTGGGAATGAAAATTGAGCCCTATAAATTGACAAGTCCTATGTGGTCCGATCTGAAAGGTACTTTAACCATTTTTTACATTAAAATGAAAATAAATACATAAATAAATAAAGAAATGTAATTAAGATATCTATTATGTAGGACAAATTTTTAATAGAAATATGCAAATTTCAACACTCATCCCTATCATGCAGCTTAGCAAATCGAAACAACAAAATTATTTCTCTTCTTTCGGACTCAAATATGATAGTGATGAGTGTTGAAATTTGCATTGTTTTATTAAATAAAGTTACGATTTAAACTTTACAACGTAATTAATTAAAACTTGTTATATGTCATTTTCAGAAAAGGGATATCACTTATAATACTTATACTATAATTATAATTATAATTATGTAGGATCAATTTATTAAAATATTATATGAAATTTATTTTTATAAGTGTTGAATTTTTATATAATTTTTTATTATAATTAAGTAATCGTAGCACTGCAATAAAAAAATTATAATTGAAATAATCCCTCTGAACAAAGACGAAGAGACCATCTTGCTAGGCATCTTACTACTTCAGAGTGAATTATTTGCAGTCATTTAAAGAGTATATAATTGATAATATGAAATTATCGCGTTTGATTTGTAATTCGAATATTCTTGGAGTAAATTTCATAAAATTTGAAATATACCTTTATAATAAAATTATCACTTTAAATTTAAAATTTAATTTAATTAATTTAATAATTACATTTAAGAGATATTATTTAATAAATCTAAAATTAAAATCTTAGTAATTATAATTTTTTTCATTATTCTTATATTACAGTCTCTTTAATACCAAAAAAATTCACCCCTTCATTTAACTAACCACTCATTGAATTAAGCCTTGATAAAGACTTAACTTGGTAGTACATTACGGGTTTTTTTTCCTCCTGGATCATTAATCAAAACTGATCTTATATATTTTTGGATCTGGTTAATTAATGTCAATAAGCATCGATTAAGGTAGTTAAAATTTTCTTTTAAGATATTTTATAGTTACTCTATTGTTTTTATTCAAAATAAGATATGCATTAATTGCAAATTATTTTCTTTAAATATCAAGTTAACTAATGTCTAATGGCATTTGTTAGCATTTCTTTTTATTAATATATACCTACAAGAACCGGTGCAACTGTTAGGAACTGATGACTTGGCCTTGAGTCACAATTATTGACAAAATGACCCCCAAAATAAAAAGCATGAAAATCACTAAATCTCAATTTAAGGTCATGGGCTATGTAAATTTTTTTTTTGGTAAATAGCTTATGTATGAAATGAACTTTAGTTAGGGAAAAAGAGCAATGATTGCAAAAAAACGTTTATTCTGTATTAAATTTTAAAGAAAAGCATACTTTGAAGTTTGCCTCCACTGAGTAAATATTCCTGAATCGACCTTGGCATATTCCTTATCGACCTTGGATACATCAAATTAATTATTAAGAACATGAAAATCACATTTCACATGGTCTTAAAGAAAGTCAGGGTTTAATCTTTACACGATTAAGGGTTATCCAATAATTTTATCAGGGAACCTTTCCCTATAAATTTGAGCACCCTGGAAACGATTTGAAGCAAACAAGTTGAAGTATTCACAGAAAAAAAAATGAAGAGAATAAGCATTAGCATTGTGTTGTTGGCCTGTCTGGTGGCATCTGCCGCTGCACAGAGTGCTTCTGGCGTGATAGCTTATTGGACTAACTACAATGTTACAAACAACAACTGGGACTATAATGCCGCACATGTTTTCTGCGCCGCTGTGGATGGCGATAAGCCCTTGGAGTGGCGCAGCAAATATGGATGGACCGGTTACTGTGCATCAGTTGGTCCGCAAGGTGAAGAGGCTTGCGGCTTGTGCTTGAGTGTAAGGAACATTTCCTAGTTCTTAATTAGTATTTTTTTTCTCTTTATATGTATTGAATGTAAAATGAAATGAAATTTCTGAGTTATAATATAAAAACAATCGCTTAATTCTCATCATGTCATGCATGCATACATGATGTGCAGGTGACCAACACTGAAACTGGAGATAAAGAAACGGTGAGAATTGTTGATGCATGCGGCAGTGGTGGCCTAGTGTTGGACCTGGAGACAGCTTTTAGACCGATCGACAGCAATGGGAATGGCTATGCACAAGGGCACCTTGTTGTGGACTTGGAGTTTGTGGATTGTGATGCCGTACCACCACCACCGGCAGGTCCAAGTGAGTCTAACGTCACAGCTTATTGGACTGACTACAATGTTACGAACAACAACTGGGACTATCATGCCGCAAAAGTTTCCTGTGCTGCGGTGGATGGCGATAAGCCCTTGGAGTGGCGCAGCAAGTATGGATGGACCGGCTTCTGTGGAAGCGTTGGTCCTCAAGGGGAAGACGCTTGTGGCTTGTGCTTAAAGGTAAGGGATACATTTTCTCTAGCTCTTACTGATTAATCTCTCCCCGTATTGAATATATAAATTGAATGCTTTGAAAGAAAATTAAGGCCATAATATAAAATATACATATATTAAAATTCTGGGTTTTTTATTCATAAAAAAAGGGGGATTTATATATTAATTAATTTATGCATATATAGTTTAATTAATCTTGGCTCTGTCACTGTACATGCAGGTAACCAACACAGCCACGAATGCTGAGGAAATAGTGAGAATCGTTGATGCATGCGGCAGTGGAGGCCTGGTGTTGGACCTCGAAACCGCGTTTAGGCCAATTGACACCAATGGAAACGGCTATGCACAAGGGCATCTTACTGTGGACTATGAATTTGTGGATTGTGGCGATTCCAGCCAAGTTCTTGTCTATTCCCAGTAACTTCTCGAGTTACAGAAGATTGATTCCCACTTAACTAATTTGCCATGAATAAATCTGTCGGAACCATGTTTTATGTAATAAACGTGTTAGTGGGATGAAAGTCTTGGCTGTTTGTAAGATCAAATGATCAAATAAAGTTATCAAATTATTATATATTTAATTTAATTTTTTTTATTTTATCTATTTTTCACTCTAATTTTGATATTTTACAATCAACTTTTAATTTGAATATCACAGACGTAAATAACACCTTTGCTCTTAACCGCTCTTTTTTTTCTATCGTGACTTCAAGAGTTTGACCCTCAGCTCCAAAATCGGCACCAACAATAAGTACACATTTTGCTGAAGCCTCAAGGCTGAAGCTATTTATCATATTTTTCTGCCGCTAATGGGGAAAGAGCAAATCGGTGACTGAAAAATTAGGTAATGAAGAGTCAAATTTCACTAGGGGCGGCAAATATCAATCAAAAACTTAGAAAATACCTCCAACAGCAGTCTTAATTTCTACTTTGCGTGAATGATTCTACGATTCTTCGCATCCCAACAACAAAAACAAATGAAAAGATTGTTACGCAAATGAAACTTAGACTAAATTTACTCTATATTTGTTTAGTGGAAAACGAACTAGAACAAAAAGTTAAAGACCATGGTCTATGGATGAAATTTACTCAATTAATTGCGGTCTTGTTAATTATATTATTTTGATTTTTCAGCTCTCAAGAATTGTTTCATATGAAAATTCTCTGTAATCAAATTAAAGTTTCAAATTTTAAAAAATTTTCTTTCAGAAAATGGTGATCATCTAGAATCTATATTATTCAACTGAAAAGATAAAAGGAAAAATCAATATGGAATTGGAATTATCGAGTTTCAGTCTTGAAACGACAAGGGTAATCCTGTAAACATATGAGGGAAAATTTTCCTATAAATTCAGGCACCCGGACTCATTTTAGGGCAACAAAAACTAGAGAAAAGAAAAATATGGAGAATTGGCCTATGCACTTGATTGTTCGCTTTGTGTGGCTTCTTGCTGCTGCTCAAAGTGCTTCCAATGTGAGAGCTACTTACCATCTTTACAATCCTGACAGATAAGGACTTTGACTGTGTAATGCTTTTGGCTAATGGGATCCAATAGCCTTTGGAAAGGCCGGGATATGGAAGGCCTTAGCAGTTTGTCCTCAAGGAAGGCTGCTTGTGGCAGTGCTTAAGAGGTAACAATACAGCTTGAAGATTAATTAATTTATTATAGGAAAATATTCAAAGTGAATTGGAGATTCACTTCAAGATTGACCACGCAGTTCATATACTTTCCTATTGAATAAATTAATTTAGTTATTGTTGATTGTAGGTGACCAAACTGAGATGAACTCGTCAACGTAGAATCGTCGATCAATCAGCAAGAGGTCTAGATTTGGACATCAATGTGTTTAGACAACTCGACACTAATGGGAATGGCTATGCACGAGGGCATCTTATTGTGAACTATGCCTTTGTGGATTGTGGTGACTAAACCACTTGCCCTATTCCCATTCATTTTTAAGTTGTTACAGAAGATCAGTTTCCACTGGCTCACGAATAAATGATCTGTAAGAAAATCACCCCTACATAAATCGATATTGGAATAATCAGAGTACGTAGGTAGGATACTTGCTGCTTGTAAACTCACTACCAAATAAGCACCAGCTTCCTTCTGGTCTACATGTATGTTTCTTCTTATCCTATACTTTGAATCCCAAACACTGAATCTAAGTCACTGTCTAGGTGAAGATCAGTTTATGAATCAGCCAATGAAATAAAATGTCAAAAACTTTGTGATAATTTTGCAAGAGTAATTAATTATATGTTGTGATTAACTTATTGGCATTTGTAAAATACACAAGGGAATCATGACAGCAACGCTGTAGTCCATCTGCTAACTGATAATGGCAAATCATAATTCACTTAAGCCAAAAGAAGGCCACCTGAAAACTTATGAAATTAGCTATAAACACCACAGGAGATGCCATAGTCATGGAGGAAATTTTTTTGCAAATTGGCATATTGCTTTTGACCAATTTGTTCGGCATGAATGCCTGAAAAGATGATCAATTTCGCATTTGAAAAATTTTGTGGTGGAATCCTGACAGCATTAATGTGAATCATATGGCTTGATAATTGACATTGTCAAATTCTGACCAGCATATAAATTGACCAATTGCCTAAGCAGTCGCTATGGTTGGTTTAAAAACAAAGAAGGAAAAGCTTTTCCTGATCCATTTAATTAGGCTGAACCACTTATTTTCTACATTAGATGAAGCCAAACAACGACAGTAGTTTAATTCTTCAGCATTTCCTTTCACGGTAACTTTTTATTGTTAGTCTCTTAATTCCATGTGCTTTGCATTAATGCTTCTTACATGATCATGGGATCGATACCTTCAATCGACCGAATGAACTTTTAAGTCAATCACCAAAACATGTTTATACCTGTTAATGAGGTGAGCTAATTATTTATCTGTTTAAACAATGACGATCAATCTTACTGTAAATAAATTTGATAATTGCACAATTTTAATCATATCAATTGTTTTATTATAAAAATATCGTAACTTTAAATAAAAAAAGAATTATGAATGTTAAAATTTAAATTTTAAAATTATTTGATATTTGTATTTTTTTTAAGAGTGATTATATAAATTATTTGAATTAAATTTTAAAATTTTAATTATACTATTCATTCATGTGGAATTCATAATTTAGATTTATATGAAAGTTAAAAGATTCGATAATTTCATACTGACCTTTCTAAACTTCCTCATTCATCCAAAAGACTTAGAATTGTCGTTTGGGTCCAAGGCCCTAATTATCGGCCAGACTTTATGACCATAAAGGCAGTAACTGACACATTTTCAGCAGCTCATTTTGACTCTCTTCCATCCATCATGCTTATCTATAAATGCCTGTAAAAGGACAAATGTAAAAACGCCGTTCGGCAAACGCTTCCTATAAATTCGACCACCCATCAGCTGCCTTGTGCAATGAAAATCAGTTTCTAAAATTATCAGTGGGAAGATGATAAATTTGGGATTTGTGCCTGTGCATTTGATGATAATGTTGTATTCATACAAGAGAAAATAAATTGATCTTTTTTTACTTATTTTGTATATGTAAAATTAGATGTAATTTTATTATCTTTAATTATTATTTTAAAAAGAGGTACAATAACGATATCAATATATCTCATTAAATCACTACATAATAAGCAACTGCTAGAAGATTAATTATTTTTTATTTATTAGAAACGAAATATTCAAAGAATATTGGAGAATTCACTTCAAGGCAGTGACCACGCAAGTTCATTATACTTTCCTATGATAAAATTAATTTTGTTTTTCTTGTTTGTGTAGGTGACCAACACTGAGACTGGAACTTCGGCAACAGTGAGAATCGTCGATCAATGCAGCAACGGAGGTCTAGATTTGGACATCAATGTGTTTAGACAACTCGACACTAATGGGAATGGCTAAGCACGAGGGCATCTTATTGTGAACTATGCCTTTGTGGATTGTGGTGACTAAACCACTTGCCCTATTCCCATTCATTTTTAAGTTGTTACAGAAGATCAGTTTCCACTGGCTCACGAATAAATGATCTGTAAGAAAATCACCCCTAAATAAATTGATACTGGAATAATCAGAGTATGTACGTAGGTTACTTGCTGCGTGTAAGCTCACTACCAAGTAAGCATCAGCTTCCTTCTGGTCTACATATACGTTTCTTATTATCCTATGTTTTGAATCCCAAACACTGAATCTAAGTCACTGTCTAGGTGAAGATCAGTTTATGAATCAGCCAATGAAATAAAATGTCAAAAACTTTGTGATAATTTTGCAAGAGTAATTAATTATATGTTGTGATTAACGTATTGGCATTTGTAAAATACACGAGGGATTCCTGACAGCAACGCTGTAGTCCATCCGCAAACTGATAATGGCAAATCATAATCACTTAAGCCAAAAGAAGGCCACATGAAAACTTATGAAATTAGCTATAAACACCACAGTAGATGCCATAGTCATGGAGGAAATTTTAGTGCAAATTGGCTTATTGCTTTTGACCAATTTGTTTTTGTTCGGAATGAATGCGTTAAAAGATTATCAATTTCGCATTTGAAAAATTCTGGCAGAATCCTGACAGCATTAATGCGAATCATGGCTTGGTAATTGACATTGTCAAATTCTGACCAGAATATAAATTGACCAATTGCATAAGAAGTCTTATGGTAGGTTTAAAAACAGTAATGAAAAGCTTTTCCTGATCCATTAATTAGGCTGAACCACTTTATTTTCTACATTAGATGAAGCCAAACAACAACAGTAGTTTAATTCTTCAGCATTTCCTTTCACGGCAACTTTTTGTTGTTAGTCTCTTATTTCCATGTGCTTTGCACTAACGCTTTTTATATGATCTTGGGATCGATACCTTCAATCAATCAAATGAATTTTAATTCAATCATCAAAATAGGTTGTAGACATCTAATTTAGTTTAAGTTCGAATTAATTGAGCTTATTCCAAATGGATAGCCCAATTTTACTAATATTTTATATTTTATATTATTTTTATTTTTATTTTTATTTTATATTATATATATTCCTTTGTATCTTATGTATTTATTATTTATTTATTTATTATTACTATTTATTAATATATATATTTTTATTATTTTTTTCTTTTCTTTTTTTTTCTTTTCTGTTAATATTTATATATTTTTTTTATTTATCTAGTTATATATTTATATTATTTATCTATTTATATATTATAATTTATCTATTATTATTTTTAATTTATCTGTTAATTTTTTAGTTTATCTGATTATTTTTATTTAATTATCTATTAATATTTTTTATTTGATTTTTTATTTTTTTGATTTTTTTTTCGTCTGAAGATTGGATTGGTTTTGGAGGAATCCCACCGTAAATTGGGATTCAATCAGAGTCCATATTGGATTCAATGATTGAATCCCAATCCAAAAAGGAGTTGTGATTGATCAGAAACTCTTCTGATCAATTCTATAAAAGGACACACGGATAAAAGGAAAACACACAAAAAGAGTTACTGGCTGAGAGAAAAGGCAGACACAGAGAAGATTTAAAAGCTAAAA